GCCAGGAACCAGCTTCTGTTCTTAAGTGATGACATCTGACAGGCTAGCTGTCCTATCTACTGTATCTACTACTATTGCCTCTTCTGGGCCAGGCTCAATGATGAGTTAAGCATGTCTCTTCTCTTAGGAGACTGTTGTCTTTGTCAGAGATTAGAGAAAGGGAGAGAGGCAAATGACCAATGCAGGTATAAATTGTCAATGTAACTAGCAGAGAGGGAGAGAAGGAAGAAGGAAGGAAAGGAGGACATGAGAGGGGGAAGCCTGACTCACATATTTAGATGGAGTAGGCAGAGACCTAAGGAAATTACCTTATTTAAGAGATATTGGAACAATGAGATGGTGGTAACTATGGGAAGGTGGGTGTGGGAAGCAGGATGGAGAGTGTGCCAGTCGTGCCCTGTGATAGGAAGGTTGTGGCATATTCACAGAAGGGAAAGGAAACTAGTGAAGCTGAAACACTGCCTCTGGTGATCAAGCTGGTGCAGCAGGTCAAGAAGGCAAGTGGGACACGGTGGAGGGATGGAGTGGGGCTAATCCAACAGCTGCTCCAAGTAAAGCTCTCCAAATTATATAAAGTGCATCAGGAAACCTTGGAGAACCTTTATGGGGGGCAATATTATGACCATAAATAAGGCTGCCGTAAGCTACTCCTGTCCTCATGTGCCTTTTCTATCAACCACCCCCAATCCATGTTTCCCAGCGGTGGAAGGTTGAAGAGCTTGGGCTGGTGAGATGGTTCAGTGGGTAAAGGTGCTGCTATAGCCACCAAGCTTGATGACCTGAATGCAATTCTCAAAGTCTACATGGTTGAAGGAGAGAGCCAATTCCCTAAGTTGTCCTCTGACCTCCATATGGGTACTGTGCACACACCCACACCTCTACCCTCCAATAAATACATATAAATTTATTAAAGGGTTGAGGAACTGGCAGCTCCTGTGGCCTAGCTTTGTCTCACATTGTGGATGATTTAAAATCTCCTAGTTTGTTCTAGGGAATGCATTCATGAGATATCTGGAGGGACCTTGGAAGGGGAACACACCCACATCCACACAGGTGCAATAACAGTCAAGTATTCAAATGGTAGTTTCAGCAGTTCCTTGTGGCTCCTTGCCCTTCATCATTAGGGGTCATGAGGTGAGCAGTGGAGAAATACTGGAGACAACAAGGGACTTGGCTTCTGAGAATTTAAATAAATTTAAAGCCTGGGTCCTGGGTGAAAAACAAAATATTACAGAGTATTGGATCTGTTGAAATCAGTTTCTAGATTAATGCACTTCCATGTCAGTTGCAACAGTGTGTGTGTGTGTGTGTGTGTGTGTGTGTGTGTGTGTGTGTGAGAGAGAGAGAGAGAGAGAGA